GCTGAACCCAAAAGTGAAGCAGATCCAAGTGAAGGTCACCTACGTGAAGTCAGGATGACACAGACCCTGGCACAGCCCTCCCTAGAGGCACCTGTGGGCCCCTAAGAACACCTTGGGATGAAATCCACAGTCTCCAAATCCCTTCATTTTATGAAGTGACCAAGGCCCAGAGAAAGGTGATTTTCCTGAGGTCCAGAGTAAAATCAGAGGCAAAACCAAATCTCCCTACTCCCAATCCCACGCATTCTTCTGCCCAACACACAACTCTAGCATGTCTTCTTCATCATACAGAGTCTTAAGATCCCTTTTACGAATAAATGAGTGAAACAAATTCAATAGTCAGCCTGCTGCAGAGCCCTGCCAGCACCAACATGTGCCTGAGAAGTGAATAAAGTCCAGTGGGACCAGCTACTTAATCATGACCTAGGCCCAACCCTGGTCTCTTCTCAGAAGCTGGCCACATCCCAGGGAGAATGGTGGGTGTTCTCACCAGGTCACACCACACTGATCCTAGACCTCAGGAATTCTTATCAAGTCTGCAACTCAGAATCCCAGGGGCTTTGTCAAAATGCAAAGGCCCAAATCACACCCCATGAATCCAGGGGCTCTGATTCAATGACCTCAGGTGCAATGCAGCATCTTTTGGCTTAGCTGTACTTTTTTTGTTGGTGGTAGTTTATTGTTTGAGGTTTCATTGTTTGTTTATTTGTTTTTTGGTTTTGTTTTTGGTGTTAGGACTGGCTGCTTTCCATTATTAGTCATTTTAATACACACGTTTATGCCTGAGTTAACTGGTAGCAAGTGATACCTGTCACCTTAAATGTAAATGTTACCTAAACATAATTCCTGACACTTTCCCAAGCACTTTCACCTCCTCTAATGCATGTGCTCATCACCTTTATCCTGCGAGGGAAGCAGGAAGTGGTTTATCATGCCTGTGGTACAGAAAAGGCCAGAGTTGAAGGACATCTCTTGGCACTAGTCCCATGTCCTTTCCATTTTGCTCTGTTGCCTCAACAATGCTTCTACTCTGAGCATTATTCTATGACCCTCATTGTCCTGTCCCTAATATCACTGTAAAGTCCACCTGAAAATAAAAAAGTAAAACTTCATGTCAAAAGAGGAAATCTGTTTCTCCATCCTTTCATCTAACTTCCAAAAAAGAAAGAGATGATGTAGAAGACCACACAGAAGCCACGTGATGCTCTGTTCTAGCTCAGTCTCTGCTCAGGGTGCTGTGTAGTCTCTGTAAAGTCAGTTTCCTTCTCTGGCTTCAGTCTCGGCCAAAGGACAAGGAGGGCTTGGCTTCCAGCCCTGAACTTCTATTCTAGGAAAGAAAAAGGGCAGAAAAAGGCGGTGTGGACTAAGCGCTCAGGCTGCAGGACCTTGTTGTAACTGAGTGATTACAAGCTCATATGCCCAGGAAATGAATTAGCCCTTTTTAAATCCTACCTCCCTGTCAGACTCAGAGACCACCCATGTCAATGAATGCCAAAAAATTATAATCCAAGTGTTTCTACTGTTTCCTCATTTAGCCATGAGCTTCTCTGTGGACATACCCTCCCAGCCTGGAGCAGGGTAAAGGAGAGAACTCAGGGCCTACAGTAAGGCCTCCCCAGAGCATTGTCTGAACCTGGAATTACCTTGTCCTGAGCCATCCCCTACAGTAGGTTAAGGGTATGCAGGACTAGATGGGTAGATTCCACCATCTGTAGACACGGCTCTAGGAGGGGACAGGAAGAGGACAGGAAGCCTGGACACAAATATAGCATTTTCTTGTAAAAAGCTTTGGCCAAAATTTCAAAGCTATTTCTCCCTACTTGAAATAAGGAATGTAATCTTTACCAAGCAATAGTCACGTGTCCAGCACTGTGTTATTATAGCTTCTTTATAAATGCTTTTAGTCTTCACATGAGAGGATTTCAAAAGATTTGTGGGAAAATGGAATTAAAATACAAGTTCATTTTGACACAAACTATTTATAAATCTACACAGTTTCTTTTTTTAATAATATACATTCTCTTAACTTTTTAAAGACCCCTTGTAGTATCTTTCAAGATTAGCCTTATCAGATCTCACAAAGGAAAGATAAATTTAAATGTTGTAAAACTGAGGCCTAGAAAAGTTCGATAACTTGTTTAAGGCCATTTGTCTCTCTCAAGTAAATATTTAGCCCTGTGTATCGCGTTGTATATTTATGCTCCTCCTCTGTTCCTTCTGATGTTACATCCCAAACCCTTGGTAAAATACTCTGTGAACTGTAAACATAAACACACACACCCTACATCTTGCTACTCAATTCTGTAACCTCCAATCATGACCTGAACTCTTTTAGAAACTCTTCCAAAGGATGGCAAGTTTCATTAGCTACCATGTTCTCTCAATAAGGCAGACCAAAGCTCAATACAAATGCAGATCACTTCTGACCAAGTTTAAAAAATTGGTCAGGGACCAGCAGTTAGCATAATGGCTATGTCGCTGGACTCCCACGTAGTTTGAGTCCTGGACCCGGTGGCTTAAACTCACACCAGGCGTGTGTGCATGCGTGCCCAAGATCCCAAGAGGAGAACAGAAGAGAAGGGATTGCGGTGTGGCCATCACCCCTGGGGGGTGATTTCTCACTTTCTGTCTCTCTGTCTCTCTCTGTCTGTCTGGCGAGCGCACGTGCCCTATAGCAAAAACCTCTCCAAAAAAAATTGGTCAGATTCAGCCAGCACCCTCTGAAAATTTTCATAACACAAATCAACAGAAACAGTCAAGAGAAAACTGACATAACAGGTGGTCACGAAGAAACAGAAATTGTTTGGTTTGAACAACTCCATAGCAGTAATCAAGGAACATCTTGCCTTATTGGAAACCAATCTAGAGGCCTTTTCATTTTTACAGGGTGTTAACTGGTTCCACTGGAAGGGCCACGAATACTCAATCCAGTTTGCTGAGATGAAACTTAGACCTAGCAACTTCCGGAATCTCGAAGGCAGGCGCAAACGAGCATAAATTCCAGTGACACATGGGTGAGAGAGGAATAAGGCCCAGAGGAAGGAAGGGTTTTTACCAAAGCATCAGTACAACCAGTACAACCAGCAGTCCACACCTGGGCATTTGCAAGAGTCAAAGCTGACCACGGGTCACCAGGGCCAACAGCAACAGCACTGGCCTTACCTTTTCTGCGATTGCGTCCTTCGCACCAAAGACAACCGACTCCAACAGGTTTCTGTTTTGTTGTTTGATTCAGTGAAAATCTTCCAGTGACAACATCACAGTGGTTTTTATTTCTTTGGGGTGGCTCTGGAATTGGGAGAGGGGGGTAGTCTGTACAGTGGTAGTTTGTTTTAGAACCAGCCGTATTTTACACAAAGCTGTATAATTCATTATCGTTATTTTTGTTAGCAAAGATTAAATGTGTGTCATTGAAAGTCATCCCCCTTTTTTTTTTACATTTGATACATCAGAACCCAGAAAAGCAATACTGTTTGATTTTAAAAATATGATTAATATTATTAATATAATAATGATGATGATGATGAAAACTAAGGATTTTTAAGAGTCTCCTTTCCCAAAAGCATTTGAACAGTACCTGATTGTATTTTTTTTTTTTTAATAAAAGCACAAGTACTTTTGAGTTCGGCTGTTATTTTGTCTTTTATTGTTGAGTCTGAATTCTCAAAGCGAATGTATTTGAACAACGAGAGGAAGGGATGTTGGAAAGGAAAGGTAAGGAGGGATGGTGGTCAAGTGGAGGGCGAAAGGAAATGGGAGACTGAAGGCTGGGAGGGAGGACATTTTTCTGAACAGTCAAACAAGGTCAGAGGAAACTTGTAAGTTAAGATTCAACTTCTTGCTCAGCATTTCCAAGACTAATAGTTTTTGATATAAAGGATGCTTTTATACCCATTTTCTAATGTAACCTCCTAGCAATTCTATAATACAGATGAGGGGAGGATTATCATGCAAGCTATTAAAATCCCCAGAGGCAGACTGCCTGAAGTTCAAATCTTGGCTCCATCATTTTCAAACTCCCTAATCTCTCTTGCTTTGCTTCCCTCCTCTGTAAAATAGGGATACTCACACTTCTTATTTCTTAATATCTCTGTAAAGAACAAAATATATCATCTATATTTAGCAGGGTGCTTAATATGTGAGGGGTCTTGTAAAGTTCTCAGAAAATGTATATTATGAAAAAATTATGCATGGATTTCAAAGTTTTTGTACCAAAAGAAACCAGTAGTTTAATGCCACATTCCCACAAATGTTTCGAAGTACCCTCGTATATTAAGTGCAATAAGTATTTGCTAGCACTTTATACGGGATGGACTGCAGTTCAAAGAAGTACAATGACTTGGCTGTGACTGCTTACCAGATCAGTAATAGAAATTGGATCTAAACCCATGTTTTCTAGCCCCATTGTTTCTATTTTCTCCCAGTCCCCTGATAAAGATTTTTCCTTCCTGGGTGAAAAGTACAGGTGGCAGAATGTGAGATATGATCAATGTTCACTGGATCCATCAGACTCCTTCAATCCCAAATTCTTAGAACTAGGGAGAATCTCTGTCAGGACTGTCTCCTTCTCCCCTACACCAACGTCCCCTAAAATAAAGAGAATGCAGTGTCCTTGCCGTATCTGCTAACAGGCACCTCATACCCTGCACAGCAGACCTGTTACAACTCAGCAAATCCTGTGAGTCAGAGCCACACAGGACGTAACATTTCTCTTTTAAAACAAGATATGTGTGCGGAGGGGCAATTCCCAGTTCATTCTCTTAGAGATTTTCAGCAAATTGACTTATTTAATGAAAGTGTTTCAGCTGATAGCCTCATTCAAATGGAATGTGATGTCTCAGAAGCCAGAATCAGAGGAATTTATGGACCAGTCAGATACTTTTGCTGCTGAGTTTATCTTGCTTTAATAAATGCTGTCATGTTATATATACAATTTGCTGTCTCAGATCATAAGACCTGCTGTCTGCAATTCAGCCATAGCAACACTCTTCTGGCTACATAAACCCAAACAAACAGGCTCCCCATAACAACCAAACCTTAAGTGGGAGGCTTAACTCTCCAGTGGTTGCAGACTTGGGAGTCTCTAGGCCCAAATCCTATTCCTTCTCCAGAACTATAGACATACACTTGTACCTAAACTATTCCCCAGGGGACACACAATAATAAAATTCCAATTGATGAAGAAGCCATATCAAACAGGAATCCCCAATCATGGCCTTGGGAAGGTTGTAGTTGTCCCAAATGGAGACCACAGGGCCTGAGGCCAGGCCACTTAAAACACTCACAGTTGGTTTCCAAGTGCTCTGGTCCCAAGTGTGAGCTCACCATTTCTCAAACACATCCTTTAGTCTGACTCTGTGGTTTTGTTTAGGCAACCTCCTCCATCACGGAAGGTCTATTAAAATTCTACTCTATCTTCCAGCTCCAGCCTGCCCTGCTCCTCATGGAGATCTCCACTGAGAATTATTTCCAGGCATTCAGTCTTCCCTTTGCTCCTGTCCCACCTGCTCTCCTCCCTTCTGCCTGTTCTGTGCTCTTCATAGTCACCTTGTATGAACTGTATCAATGCCCTCCCATGTCCAGTTGGCCATCAAAATGGGAGACACCAGCAAAACATTGAAAGGAGGAAACTGGAGATAGAGGTTAAGTCTAAGTACTTATTTTCAGCTACAACTCTAGAGCAACACTGTGGATTAATGGCTTCCCTGGAGAAAGAGTCATAGCCACTGTCAACTTCCTGTGGCCATATAACTCTCCCTTCAGATGTCAGATACTTACTTCCCCCTCACCCCACAGGCCTAGGGACATCACTGGGTCCCAGCTGCTATTAAACTTGAGAAACTGGGCTAACCCTTGGGATCTCATCCACTCTGCCTATACCTTTGACAATAGTTCTTCTACCTAAATCCTTCTTAGGGACCCTGACAGGTCACCCACTCTTGGGACTATCTGAGCACTTAGTACCACTGCCATGGCAGTCTGCTCACATTATCCAGTTAATTTCACCTTGTACTTCTCTCCCTGGAGTGGCCATTAGTCATTTAATGGTTTCCCAGCATCCAAAATCCTTTCCAGTTTGAGGGAATTTTCCACTGGGGAGGACCTTGACTCCCACCATGAAAGACACAGGAAAACACTTTCCTCCTCCTGCTGATAGAGAGGGCATGAGCACATAGCAGGTTTTGCCAACCGGATACCCACAGAGGGACTTTTAGCCCTGAGGAAGGAATGCACAAAACAGCCTCTGAGTCTGTCTTCCCCACCAACAGTCACGTTATCTAGCAGCAGAGCTGTCTATTCGTGGGGCCGTGACCAGCATCCGGGGCAAAGCCCCACAGTGTCCTTCATTAATAGTGTTTCTCACAATCCCAGAGGCACACTGGCTGATCATTCCTGCTACCTGGCCTCTTCTGGTGCCACAGAGTTTTCTGAGCCAGCTTATTCAGACTTCCTGTTCATTTTATATCTTCCTGATATCTTTCCAGAAAACTGTTTTCCTACCAAGGTAGTCTCAGGTGAGTTCTGGTACTTGCAGCCAAGTACATGGATGGATGCTCTTCTCTCCTGGATCATGAGCCCCTCTCTCTACTGACTCTCCTAGAGTCCCAGAACTGTGCTTGGCTCTTGATATACTTGAATTTGATCATTTCAGTAATTGTGAGACAGGTAAAATTATTCCATTCTCCATTCAGCAGTCAGGCCTCCAAGGGTCAGGTGACTTGACTTACCCAGGACCACACAGCTGGTATCAAACCAAGATTTAAAGCCAAGTTCTCTTATTCAAAAATCCAGATTCTTTAAAAAGAGGGTATTTTATTCATGTCAACCAACCACCCTAAACTGAGAACAGCACTTTATTCATTTGACAAATGCTTGTGGAAGGAATCTGTTAGTGAAAAAAGATCCCTGATGTCATGAACTTACATTCTAACAAGGAACAATAAACGATGAATATGATACATGAGCAACTAAATAGTATATTAGAAGGTAACAAGTGCTGTGGGAGGAAGGAAAAAGTAGAGAGGATGAAAGAAAGGGTGCCATAGTGGGAAGGGGTACCTGTTGTGATATTAAACTGAGTTGGACAGTCAAGGTCAGCTTTGTTAAGAAAGATTCCATGACGGGACCAGCAGATGGCATAATGGTTACGTCACTGGACTCCCACATAGTCAACTGCGGTTCAAGTCCCAGACCCGGTGGCTTAAAACTCAAACCCAGTGTGCATGCATGCCCAAGATCCCAAGAGAATGGAGGAGAGGGGATTGTGGCATGGCCATCCCCCAGGGAGTGATTTCTCGCTTTCTGTCTCTGTCTCTCTGATGAGCTCCATGCCCTGTAGCAAAAATTTTCTCTCTTAAGAAAAAACAAAAATCTCTGAGAAACAGATATGCAGTCAGGGAATATTTGTTGAATTGAATTAGTGCTTATTCCCCTCATTTTGAATATGGAGAAGCATTTTAGACAAGGACAGAGAAAACCCTGCATGCCACAGCAGTTTGGCAAAAGGTCCTGAGAACCCAGGTTGCCTTTCTCCTTCTCCAGTACAGCATGGCTGTCCATCCTGTACAGCAGCAAAAAAGGGCAGGTTTCTCCTCACTGAGCCTCTGTGGCCTGACGGCCATCAGATCAACTTGCAGGTCCCAGTCCATTGGGACTATCCCCTCCCCATTGCCTTAGCTTGCCACCAAGCTGTTTCCACCATGCCTTGCCCAATCCTGAGTCTCCCCCTGGGCTGTGCTGATTGGCCTTTCCTTCTAAGAGCCTCATTTCCCTTTTCATCTGTAAATCAGTATTGAGCACCCTCCATGTGCCTAGCACTGAATGAACAAAATAACCACAGTCCCTGCCTTCGTGCAGCCTCCATACCAGGGAAGCTGCCAACAGCCACATGGCCAGACAGGCAGCGCTTTAGAGGCAAATACAAGGGGCTCAGGAAAAAGAGGATTAGTAGAAACAGAATGCAAGTAAACATAGAAAATAGATTTGGAATGGTATATACCATCGCAGAGTAAACAAAAAAGGGGGCACTGCCAGTCATATGCATCTCTCAAAAAAATCAGCAGAGCAAAAACTAAAGATGCACAACATACTACAATCTTTTTTGTTGAAGATGATGAATGTGGTAAAAGATCTGATGTGATTATCGCACACTGCATGCATGTTTTGAATAACTATATTGTACCCCACAAAGATGTACAACGATTCAATGTAAATAAGAAATAATAAAATCTTTTTTAAAAAAAGAAGCTATGAGAATATCTGGGGGTGCTAGGGTGGGCTGAGGTGAAGCCTTCCCTGAGGGAAGGGCATTTGAACCTGGATCTGGAAGCTGAGGAGAAGGTAAGCAGGTGAAGGAGGCAGGGGAGACAGGAGGCAGAGGGCAGAGGAGTTCTACAGACTCTGGGGCCACTGGAGGTACAGCAAGGGGAGGCACTGAGAAGATGACAATGCAATGGACAGCAGGAAGCCAGTCACAGGCCTTTCCGGTCCAGGGTAAGAATTTCTTTTTCTTAATTGCAATAGAAAGCTACTGAGGAGTCTTAAGCAGGGGAGTATCACAATCCCATCTGTTTTTTTCACAACCTTTCCACTGCAGTCTGGAGTTTGGCTGGGCAGTGCCAG